GTGACCCTACTGGTATTTAAGTACTAGTGGCATAGCTTCCAGCATCAGACTAACTCACAGGACAGGAAAGTATGACAAACTAAGAGACGAGTGGTGGATGCCCATCAAAAGTATCTAAAATCAGGAAATTAAAGATGTTTCCAGCAATCCTTTTTCCTATTTGTGTTGAGTAATTCAATTTAGTAGAGGCACTAATGAAAGAAAGGCTATTATTGTTAGGTATCATTGAGGCAGTTCCAACTCACAGTGACCCTGTGCACAGCAGAACAAAATACTGCCTGGTCTTGTGTCATTCTCACAATTGTTGTTACGTTTGAGCCCATTGTTGCTCCATCTCATTAGATGTCTTTCTCTTTTTCACTGACCTTCCAGTTTACCAATGATAATGTCCTTCTCCAGAGACTGGTCCTTACTGACAACATGTCCAGAGTTCAAGAGATGAAGTCTTACCATTCTCGCTTTTTGGAACATTCTAGCTGTACTTCTTTCAAACATATTTGTTTATTCTGGTAGTCTAAGGTGTTTTCATTTTTCTTCACAAATACCATGATTCAAATGCATCGATTATTTACTGTCTTCCCTATTCATTATCTGACTTTCACATGCATTGAGGCAATGAAAAGAAAAGAAGAAAGGCAGAATACTATACATCCATTTTTCCTAACATTCTGAATTTCATCATTAGTGATACTTTTGTAATAAGAGAGAACCAGCTGTTGTGATACTCTTCCAACAGCCACATACCTTCTAACACATCAGAATTGCATGAGCTAAAGGAAATGAGATTTATTTAAAGACTCCTTTGGATCCCCAAAATAATCATTCCTTCAATCTACAAAGGTGGCTTGTGTAACTTACTAATTCCAGGTACTACGTAAGGTATTTATTAATGGTATGATAATGAATAAATCAGATATAGTCAACACCCTTGAAAGCTTGTAATTTGCATGCATTTGAGTAAACTTTAAACTTATAATTGTTGTTGTGTGCCCTTGAGTCAATTCTGTCTCATAGCAACCCTATAGGACTAATTAGAATTCTATAAGATTTCCAAGGCTGTAATCTTTATGGAAGGAGCCCTGGTGGTGTACTAGATCACGAGCTGGGCTGCTAACTGCAAGGTTAGTAGTTCTAATCTACTAGTCATTCCATGTAAGACAGATGAGACTTCTGCTCCTGTAAAGATTTACAACCTTGGAAACCTACACAAGGTTGCTATGTAACCGACTCAGTGGTACACAGTCATCAACCAAGTTTTATGGGAGTAGATTGCCATAGCTTTTCTCCCAACCTTTCGATTAGCAACTGCGACTTAACCAGTGTGCCAACAAGCGTTCTCTAAAAACATATAATTACAAACTAGTAAGTGTTCTTTAGCATATGTATATGACATTGTGAGAACTTAAACTAGAGAGGCCTGAATGACTATGTTTAGATTAATAATAAGATAATTATGAGTTGAGATCTAAAAGGTGAACAGAAATAAGCAAGAGGAGCAATATTATTCCAGAAAAAAGGGAACAACATATGTAAAGGACCTAAGAGTAGAAGTATATGTGACGTAACAAAAAAACAGGAAGAAAGAATGGTATAATATAAGCTTAGAAAAGTTAAGTGTTGTCTAGTCCATTTGAACTCATAGTGACCCTGTCTAGGGTTTCCAAGGAACAGCTGGTGAGTTTGAGCAACTGGACTTGCAATTCAAATCAATCTGCTTATCCTACATGGCCAAATTATCATGAAGGGCCTTAGAGTAAGACTTGCAAACTATAGATTTGCCAAGTGGTGATAAGAAGTTAATTAGGAGGCAAAGTTCAAATTGTATATATATAGTTACAGTTTACCAACAACATAGATTTGATCTGTGCAGGTCAACTTCTATATGGGTTTGTTTTTTGTTTTTTGTTTTTTAAGCACTATCTGACACTAATCTCAGAGTCAGCAGTTCGTCTCTCCAGTAAATTACATATCACAGTAAAAAAATGTTTTCTTATGGCTCTCACATATGTTTCACTGTGTTTAGTGCAATACGATAAACTTTGGATAGCACTATGAGACCCATCGCTATGGGTCGGATCCGACTTGACGGCACTTAACAACAACAACAACATGAGACCCATATAAACTTCCACTTGTGATGCTGGAAGTGCTCTGAAGAAGGAAAGAAAACTCATGCCATTGCAAGATAGAGTTGAATTGCCAAATATGTAGCATAGATTGAGGGCTGCAGCTGTGGATGCTTGTAATTTTAAGATAAAAGAATCCAGATTAAGGACCATTGTTAAGAAAAAAAAGAAAACTTCTGAAGCTGTAACTGTAGCAATAAAAATGTGACATTTTGTGAAATAGCTTTTTATCTCATTTTGAAAATGAAGCTTTTATGTTGGTGCAGTATATAATGCATATAACATACAAAATATATCTTAATCAGCTATTTGTGTTATCAGTAAGGTTCAACAGTGTGCTATTGATAGTTAAGTTTGGGAAGAGTCAAAAGTTGTGCATGAGTTTTTTACTGTGCAGATGATCCATATTCGTAACCCTCATGTTATTCAGTGATCAGAAAGCTATATTTCTGAGTTGCATTAAATATAGCCTTGCTTGCTGAAGAGATGAGGACTTAAAATACTTACTGATGAAGATCAAAGAACACAAACTTCCTTATGTTTTACACCTCAATGTAAAAAAAATGCAAATGTAAATGATAAAATCCTCCCTAAGGGGCCGTTATCATGATAAATGGAGAAAATACTGAAGTTGACAAGGACCTTATTTTGCTTGGATCAACCATCAACACTCAGGGTAGCAGCAGTCAAGAAATAAAACAGTGTATCAAATTGGGCAAATCTGTTGCATAAGACCTCTTTTAAGTGTTGAAGAGTAAAGAAGTCCATTTGAGGACTGAGATGCACCTGACCCAAGCTATGGTATTTTCAGTAACCTAATATGCATGTGAATGTTGAACTATGAATAAGAAAGACCATAGAAGAATCAATGCATTTGAATTATGCTGTTGGAGGAGAATATTCAAAGTACCATGGAATGCCAGAAGAAGAAAACAATTTGTGCTGGAAGAAGTACAGCCACAATGTTCCTTGAATGCCAGGATGGCCAGACATCATCTTTCATACTTAAGACATATTATCAGGAGGGACCGGTCCCTGGAGAAGGATATCATGCTTGGTAAAGTGGAGGGTCAGCAAGAAAGAGGGAGAACCCCAGCGAGATGGCTTGGCATAATGGCAGCAGCAATGGGCTCAAGCATAACATTGATTGTAAGCATGGCACAGGACCAGGCAGTTTGTCCTTCCGTTGGGCACTATGAGTCAGAACCATCTCAATGGCACATAACTATAGCAACAATGAGTTGCATTAAAACAGCTATGGCTGTTTATATGTAGATCAGATTTAATGTGTGAGTGTAAGAGAGAAAAGAGAAACATAATGACAGAGACTGGGATTTTTGTTTTTCACCCAAGATATCTGAACCATGCTTTCTCCAGAGGAAGTACAGATTGAGACTGTGTAGGAGGAGGAGCATATCCAAATCTAAAGTTGCAGAAACTGTTATAATACATCAGAAATCAAGGAACCTCAGGAAGCTTGAACAGGAGTGTTGCAACACAGAATTAATAAATATAAAGGGGCTTTCTAGTGTCTGAATTCATAGTTTTAAATTTCTACTTGTGTACTATGTGAGAACAAATGAAAGAGTTTTGGAAGCATGCTACATTTAGCAGTAGTGGTAAGGAGAGAATGTTCGTAATGATGTTCCATGACCCATGGATTTCACTCTTATTTCGTTTGATGTTTCAGAATTGGTAACATTGAGTCCCTTACTCATTTTTTTATTGAGTTTAAAAACCACATATAAAGCACATTATTTTAAAATACCACAAGATAGGTATTCTCTATATTTTAGTGCCAAAACAGAGAGTACACAACAAAAGTCAAATGACCTTGTAGCCTATTTCCTTTCAAGAATTATCAGTTGAACTACAAAATACAGAAAATGGTTTAAGTATGTATTTTACTCAGTTTTTCTAAAAATATTCATAGGCAGTTCCATTGTCTACATTGGATGTCTTAAGTCATTAAAGCTTACTTACTTCCCTGAAACGCAGTTGAAAGACTGCTAAAGTATCCAAGGAGCCTTTGCTTATGCGTTTATTATTCAGAAATATACTGAAACAATTTCCCTGTGAGATTCTGGAAATTAATATTTGTCTTCTTTTTCATCCTGAAGAAAGTATATATCATTATTCATCAATAGTGTGCTGCTAACTGAGGACTCTACATTCATCAAAAGAGAAAGGTTGTGTGCTGGCGACCAGGAGGCAGGCTTGCAGAATGTGCCTTTGATTGTTTAAGTGATTATATATTCCTGAGTATTTTTGTATACATCCAAAAAAAGAAAAATCAGAGGGAGTAGAAACAAATACTGTTGAATGATGATGCACGGAGGAGATTGTAATCATTGCAATGAAATGATGTTCTCCATTGTAAACTATCACTCAATTCACAATAAAAACTTTTTATAAAAAAACAGTGTGCTACTAGTAATAAAGAATTATTGTATATAATTTTCCTGGTCTTCACAAAACCCTCTGAAAGACTATCTGTAATTAATATGTAAGTCAAAACTAGTTTGAATAACTTATAGAAATCATAAACACTTTATGTGAATTCTGACAACAAAGGAGTTAAGAGAACAATTTTTATTTAATAGTAAACCTGTTGGAATTTGAAGGTGTTGGAGAAACTGTTGCAAAAATTGTAAATCATCATAATTGTGGTTTTACTAGATATGCATTATAATGTAGAGTAAGTCTTCATTTGTGATTAAGACAAATCAAAAAGTTAATTTTTATATAGATTTTTCATCCAAACATTTCTATGTCTCAGACAGCACAATGAATGATTCCTTTTGTGTATGTCTTTGATCAGTATAATTCCTAGAGTAAAAAATATATATATATTGTGTTCATTTTATATCTTAGATCAGTACAATGGAGCATGAATTTTCTATAAAAGAACATGGATTTGAAGTTCGACTGAGAGAGATGGAAGACAGTAATCGAAATTCTACTGTTGAATTGAGGCATCTCTTAGTGACTCAACAGAAGGCAACCAATAGGTGGAAAGAAGAAACAAAAAAACTTACTGAAAGTACGGAAACTAGGATCAGTAATCTAAAGTAAGTATGCTATTGTTTCACCCATTTACAGAAAAAAAATATTTTACTTGGAATCTAATATCCATGGTATAATTCTTTTATGAGAAAAATATAATTCTGTGCTTTGTACATATGTTTCTGTTTTTAAATGCCATTGAGTTGGTTCCCAGTCATAGCAACCCTGTATAGGGTTTCCAAGGAACAACTGATGGATCTTGTGGTTCA